TATGTGGGTAGATGTTGTGAACGAAGAGTAATGAAATTTGAATTCTGTTTAGACGAGTTTACAATTTTTTTTGCTTTTAGATGACAACTTATGAGTTTATTTTAATAAACAATAATTTGGTTTTTTCAGTGTCAGATAACTTGGCCATTTAGTATCTAATTTCTCATCATCTTACGAATAAAGTTGTTTACGCGGGAGATGGGACAGAAGTGACATTTCAAAAGCAATTTAGATCTAGTGTAGATGGACTTGATTAACCATTAGAATTTGCATATTTCGACATAATATGCATATAATTGCTCGTCCCGACATAATTTGGTTCACAAAGAAAAATACACTTGAAATAGTATGGTGGAATTTTAATTTTAATAGAGAAGTCTACGAATCGATGAAAATCTATAAAATCCATGAAAATCTATTGAAATCCACAAAATAGAAATTTATTCAAATCTTATAAAATCTGTTAAATTTTATTGANAATCCATGAAAATCTATTGAAATCTACAAAATAGAAATTCATTCAAATCTTATGAAATCTGTTAAATTTTATTGAATTCCATAAAATCCATGAAAATTTATAAATATTAAGAAATCTATTAAAATTAGAGTTTAGGACACCCCTGTCAATTTGGTTTTCAAAAATTTCAAATGAGGAATGAGAGTTGAATTTTGAAGAAAGAAGAAAAGAGAGGAATCAAATGAGCTTGGGATGGATTTGGACTAAAATTTAACAAATTTAGATTTAAAAATTGGGCCAAAAATTAAAACAAAAAATTAGTTTCAAGAATTGGGTTGGGCTTGCCAAGTGATAATTAAAACAAATTTCCATTAATTTATACTAATTTTATTGGACCTGGATGTGGGCAGGAATGGGTTACAGCCAAGTGCCCAATCAGCCCCAGTCAATGATCAAGTGTAGCCCATTGCCAGATCTGCCCCTGTCAATGATCAAGTTTCCCTATAATTTGAAGTGCTCTCGTTCTTTTTGTTGTACACGATAAAGAAGTTCACATCTAAGGATTTTTTTTTTCTCGTTCTCTTCATGTTCTGCACAAAATC